TATATATATATATATATTTATAAACAATCAATGGTAATAATAAGAATCAATAAAGTAATCATTAAATTTATGAAAAGTATAATTGAGATTTTAAAAATTTTTTGAGGACAATAAAAAAAAATCGACTAATAAAAATAAAATATTATTTTGAATAAAATATTATTTTTATTGCTACTTTTATCAATAATAATTAATAACATATAAATAATTGGAATTCTTCCAAATAGAAATTCTTAACCTTGCACAGATCATTGATCGATTCTCTGTAGTGAATATCGTTAGTTATTAGTAATGCTTTCTTGATCAAATGATCTGTGGTTTCTTTGAATGACGCAAGACATGCTCTAAGCAACTGCACGTAGATACGTATTTGACCCCTGTTAATAGAATTCTAAGCATTCAATTAATATGCCCTTAGTACCTATCGAATAATTAAACGATACTTATCGTTGGTAAAGTAAGCATTATTATATTACTAATTAACTATTATATTACTATTATATTAATACAATATATTAGTACCACAATATTTTATAATATTTTATAATATTGTAATAAATAATATAATTATAATATTTTTTTTTATTAATAGTGTATCTAAATATTACAAATTGATATTTTTTAAAAGCTACAATATAATTCTTTTATTTTAAAATATTTCTTTTATTTTTAAACATATGTAAAAAAAATTAGAATATCAATGAAGAATGCAATATCATATTTGAAATAAATATAAATAAATTTCATGGCAAATTTATAACTACATATCATGCAAATACTTTAAATATAACTTTTGTTCTTATCTTTATATTATGATAACCTAACTATTCGAAACAATTTCTTTTTATATCATAAGATATAACATGCTGTTGTCAACAGGTGATTTTTTTTTTTTTTTGGATTTTTACTTCAATCTTGAACTATTTATTGACGTAAAATCAGTGGTTATCATATTGTCATTATCATATCATAACAATATTTAATATTAAATAATTTAAATATATCTTGTTTTTTTAATTTTTATTAATTATTTATTGGTTTTTTAAAATGCAAATGTTTCATTATGAATATTATAATATTCATTTTATATATTATTTTATTTAAAAAGCAGTTATAAATATGCAGTTCATATGATTTGAGAACATTCGATAACCTAGCACGTGATTGGTCGAATTGGTGGGTGTGTACAAGGCATGTCACCTGTCACTGCTTTAATTCCACAGTATATTACATATATTATCTGACGCAATCACACATGAATGTTACGATAGTAAACGAAATGCATTTTATATCTTAAATACAAACTATTTAAAATATATATTTAATATGTTTATAATAATAATAAATGTAATTTATATATTTTTAAAACATTTTTTTTCATTTGATTTATAAATATAATTTATTATTATTATTTACTTATTATAAAATGAATTTTTATATACGTAATATAATTTTTAAACTATTATATAAGCTATATAAAATTTTTCAAAAATCATTGATATTAATATATTAGGAAACTAACATATCTTTTACATGTCACATTTTTTTGATACTATATATTTAGAATTATTGTATTTCAATATATTTGACTTAATTATTTAGTAATTTTTTAGAAATATTATTTATTGTGACATAAATTTAATTTTATACTTTTTAATATTATTATTTTAATATAAAAATTAAAATTAATTTTAAATTAATATTTTTTTTTAAATATATATAATTTTTCTAGATATTATTATTATAAACAATACCTTTATGATCAATATATTTATGATTATAATACATATATACATATATGTATTTATTAAATTTATAATATTTATTAAATTACAATGTAAATTAAATTACAATTAGAATTCATAAATAAATATAAATTCTAAAACTTTGGATTCAATCTTGAACTATTTATATGTGATATATTACAAGATATTTTGAAATAAATAGATGAAATATAATTTAAAATACAAATAATTGTTTTATGATATTAACATATCAAAGGAAATAACTTCAAATTTCTTATATGTAACTAGTTTATTATTTTAATATGAAAATATTTTATAATGATTTAAATTTTCAATTCTTTCTTATTTCTTTCTATTTTTATTTCTTTCTTATATTTTAAACTGCAAATTACAAAAATATTGGAATATCATAAAATTTTAAATTTATTTAAAGTTATTCATTTAAATAAAGATATTATTGTTTTTAATATTACTTATGTTGTGTCTTGTGATATTAGAAATTGAAACAGAGAGGGAGAGTAAAAGAGTGAGTGAAAAAATGAGAGAGTGAGAAAGAGAATTCTTGGGGGCTCGCCATCTATCGAAGAGTGACGTTGTACAGCTTGCATCAATGTGAAGCCATCGTCCGTCGCCCACGCGTTGTATCGTTCGTTTTTACCTAAGATAAAATAGCCAAGTGCGTTTTACTATAGTATATTCGCGTGTTTTATTATGCTTTTGTTTCTATGTTTTAATAATTTAATAAATGTTTTATAACCACAAAAATTAATTTTTATCGTTTTTTGTATTATGTCCATATATTTGAAAAGAGGTTAGAAATGTTATATGTTATATTTTAGAATTTTTTTATACAAGTATAATAAATTTTATAATTTTAGATNTATATATATATATATATATATATATAATTCTTATTTCAAACATCTTTTTAATTATTATTTAATCTATAATTTATATTTGTAATGTGTATAAATAACATAATTTTTCTCATTTAAATTACAAAAATTATAATTATAAGATTATAATTTTAATTATGTGATATATTTTAAAACATATCGATCCATCGGTAAATATTCATCCTAAATATTCAGAGAGAAAGCGCAGGCTCAACAAAAAATTAGAAATGGAACTCGGTATATTTTGTACCTTATGTGAATTGGTATACATATAGTATATAATATATATTAAAAAACGTTATTTAATAATAATTGACATTGTGAATTTTTAAAAATTATAATTTTATTAAAAAATTATATGATTGTGTATAAATATATACAAATTTAAATTAATTGTGACAAAAATAGTATTTTTAAAATTATATCATATATTTGATAAAATATAAATATAAATAATTTAATCAAATAAAGATTATGTTCGTTTTAAATCTGACTGAAAAAGTTCTATTACATTTGTAAATAATAATATTAATTATTTTTTAAATCATTGATAAAAGTTTGCAATACATAATGGCTTTTAATATGAAATATAAGAAAAATAAAAAAAAATCAAATTATGAAATAAAAATAAATTATAAATAAAAGATGAATGTAAATATTAAATTTTTAAAATTTTTTTCATGCGAAAGTGATGTATTTTTTTAAAACATATAATCTAAATAATTATAAAAAATCAAAAATAAATTAATAAATAGAACATTATTTCATTGATTTTTAAATATAAACATATTTTTAGATGATTTATTTATAATTTTATATAATATGACAAAATATTATACGTTATATCAAATATTTTTCTATTTTAAAAATATTTAATAATTATTTAATTATCATGTCTAAATATGGAGCTAAAAAAGCAAGTTTATTTTGATATCTGGTTATCGTTTTGTTATGTCGAAAATTAAATAAAAGATAATTTTTCCAATGAATTAAAGATGAAGTAATCCTCGATTTAGAATTACAATAGAAAATGCAAGCCGGTAAATTTTCGCGCGTGCGCTTTGTAAGGTTCTTTGGTCGGTTACTCGTTTATCCAAGAGGTATAAGTATACCAGGATCGAACGTGAATTTTCTTGGAATAGTCAAGCCCGCGTTTTCTTTGACTACGTCACTAATTGTAAGTACTACGTGTCATTCGCGCGGTAACTCGGTCATTATTTTTTTTCTGAAAATATATCGAATGAATTCTTTTTTTATTTTTCTTTTTTTTTGCAAATAATGTAAACCTAACCCACGTATGGATAGATTGATAATTATAAGTTGCAAACAGAAATGTATTATTGAATTAATTTACAAATGAGAAACATAGGTGTTTTTAATCAATGAAATTGAATACATATAACATATTTTACTAATAATATAGATATGCATACTTTTTTTAAATTAAATTTTATATTTTATATCGTTTATAAGCATGATTGTCTAGATATATTACTTTTAAATGTTTATATTTTGAAGTGAATCAATGCGAACATATGATGCGAATGATAAAATGAAATGAATATGATTATAATAAATATTCACGTCTGTCAATTTCAGTAAGTCATTCGTGATGAGAATTTATGATATTTTTATCATTATATTTTTAACATTGATTCTTAATTTAAAATATTTTGATATTGTACATTGTATATAAAAAGCTAGTTTAAGTAAGAGATAATTTTTAAATCAAATAAGTGAATAAATTATGATGTAACGATATCACATTTCGTGACTTATAAAGGAATACAAAATTTGTATGTACGTAAACAAAATTTGTTATATAGAAAAAATTTTCAATAATTTTCATTTAGAATCCATTTCATTCTTTCAATATACAATGACATGTTAAATTATCATAGATCATGACCTTCCAGATTATACATACATGTACATATATGTATATTCAATGATTCTATTTTCATAATATTAATCAACAAAATTCTGATTAATTATTTATATATAATTTACATACAAATTAAAATTCTAGATTCTTTTACGATCTTATCTCAGTGATTTATTTCTTTATTTATAATTATAATATTAAATTAATAAACTATAAATAGAATATGTATATAATATATAAAATATATAAAATTAATATATTTTAAATAAAAATAAAATCAGATTATCTTATACCTTATTGATAATAATAACATTTTAACAATTAGTAAAAAAAAAAATTATTATGTATATATTAATAGAAATATTTATAATCATGAGTTATAATTTTTTATATTTTTTGTTATTAAATAAAAATAAATTTTCTTTTTTTTTAAAATCAATAAATAAGTAGAAGCATTTTGTTATTTTAATATATGTTGGTATTGCTATAAATAATTATAATAAAAAATAATAAATATTTAAATTTTTGTATAAATTTATATTTTGTATTAATTATCTATTATTGGTTATCTACTTGGTTTATAGATTTTTTACATTTTACTTTATACTAACTTTATAGATTTTTAATATATTATGATGTAAACTGTTGCGTTGGTTTCTTTTTCTTTCATTATTATTTTCATATATACATCATTTATTAAATTGATTTTTTAATTATTTAATCTTAAAGTTATATCAAATGATATCTTAAAATTATTCAAAATATTTTAAACATCTAATCTTACGTAAGAAAAAGTGATTATATTATCTATATATGCTTGCTTGTTCCTTTTTATTACATCATTTTTATATTATTTCGTAAAAGATTCATTTTATCATTGATATTTCTCGTTTTTATATAATAATATATGAAATATAATTTACACATTTTTTTACAAGCTGCTTTATGATGGAAATGGAAAACGACAAGGTATCATGTAATAAAGAAATTAACATAAAATTTATAGATATTGATATATGCTTAATTAACAATTATGATTTAGTCAAGCAATAAAATTCAGGAGCAGGCTACAACAAGTACGCCTTCAAATCCGGTGCAGGAGGTAACGAAATTTGTTACAAACTTAAGAACATATAATGTTAAACGGCTCTTATCTTTTCTGTTTCATTGTTTACTCTTTCACATACATTATGGAGGATAAGAAATTGGTGAGTATATTACAAACTGAACGATATGTAATTCTTAAAACGAAAATATTAATTCTTATTTTAGCTGTTAAACTCTTATATATTTATATACTTATATACTTATATATTTATATATTTGATTTTTCTTTTGTTTTTATTATTATGCACATAAAGTTTATGATTTTGAAGACAAGGTATCTTGAAAGTATATTTCATTGACTTAAATTGTGACAAAAACAAAAAATTAACACGAAACGGAAGAAATCTAATCTCGTATAAAGTTCAAATTTCGAACAGTCGAATATCATTGATGATAATGAATATATATATATTATCATTCTCTATGTCCTGTCTATTAAATTATAAATTTCGAATAGAAAAGACTAAAGGTCATATTGTTATTTCCTTGATTTCATTATTTTATTTCATTTATTTTTATATATTTTGAAATGTCGTTTATAAATTTATATTCTAAAAAATATGTTATTTTAATTTTAACAAGTTATTTCTAATTTATGTTGCAAATTATGAATCAATAACTGTTGATTATATTGTCATTTGATTTACAATTCTAAAGAATATAAATAATGCCAAAATTTTACTTCCTTTGATGATAATAAATTAATATCTATATATTAAAAATAATCTTTTATTTATTGAAAATATTATTAAAAATAAATCCTACTAAAGATTTGATTTTTTATTGTATTTTGTATTAATATAAATTTTTTAAATTATTTTTTGAATAGTTTGAATTATTAGTACACAAATAAAATTATTTAATTTTTTTCAACGTGGGTATGCAGAACTTACATAAAATCTGGTTTAACTAATGATAATGAGTCAGTGACTGTATTTTATCATTTATGAAACATTCTTTAATTTTGTTTCTTTAATTATGCTTTCTCTGCTTTTTTTTCATTAAACTTTCTGAATATATAAAATGAAATAAATGTAACATTAAATGAAAAAAAATAGAATTAAATTATTTTGTTTTGAAAAAATTCAAATAAATTTCATATCATATTATATGAATTGTAGAGGAAAATGAATTTTGAAAATTTAAAGATTAAAAGTAATACATGATATATTTTTCTTATTTAAGCGTTCTTCATATTACATAGGTTATGGCAACCGCTTTGTAACTGTAATATTCTTAACTATAAAATTGGCGCACACAACATGATTACTCCATTAAAAGGTTACGTCCGGTTTTGCATTGAGACAGTATGAGCTTGTTACAACAAAATAATAGATCCAGAACAAAATTTTTTTCGTACCATCTTGGTACAGTTTATCTTATTCTCATAAGATAAAATTGTATTATAATAACGTAGTCTTATATTTATCTTTATTCATTTAACTATTCTAATAATTTTTTATAAATAATATAATAATATAATACATATATATATTATATAATACATATTATATATTTCTTCTATAATTATTATCATTATTATGATAATTATGAAAGTCTTTTTTTATTGGTTTCGTATTTTATTCATTATTATAAAAAAAAATTTATATGATAATTTGAAATGTTATTATAATAATCAACATTGTAAACATGTTCATTTAATACGTCGCAGATGAAATATAAATCCGTTCGATAGGATTATGGTTTAAGAAATTGAGAAGGACAAGCATAAGAAATCTAGATCCTTTCATATAGCGTTTATAATACTTCAACTATACAGCTATATTGTATTATACGGATTATGTTAATATATCTACATATTAATCTAGAGTATAACTTTCAAGTATTTCTTTACATCAGATATAGATGCATCAGGTTCTTTATCAGGAAGTGGTTAGCGATCATCATAATCATCAAAATGATTCCTTTATATATTTTTTAATGATATTTATAATTATTGATTTTAAATTTTATAAATATTGATTAAGGGGAAAAAAAAAGAAAGATCTCGTTAGTTTATATCTATATTCTTTTTCTCGAGAATTTTCTCGGAAGAAATGCTGGAATGGTGAGAGAGGTGAAACCTACATTGCTGCACAGTGTTGTCCAATTGGTATGTATAGAGTTTGTTCAAGGGACCTATACCAAGCTTGAGCGAGAAGTAAAGAGGAGAGGGAGATATGACTGGTTTCGAAAATCAGCTTTCGTCCCGCTCGCACAAATGTTGTCTCAGTAGCTTTCATACGCGACCGTGACACGGAACGATTCGGTCGTTGTCTCCTCACTGTCGTCGCATCACTCAATTCGAATTTTGTATATGAGCTAGTGACAAAAAAAATTTTTTTTAATAAGTGTAATACGAAAGCATACGAAATTTTATACCATGACTGACAGAGGGTGGTTACAGGTAAAAATACTTTCAATATAAACATATCTAGTACCAAATAATAATATTTAAATTAATAATTAAAAGTTTCGAATATATTTGGTTTTTTTGTTCTTTACAATTCACAATATAAAATTCAATAATTAATGATAAAATATTTGATATCAATTAATTATGATTATTATTTTATGTGAAATTTCTATTTGGCGGTAAATGAAATATTTTTTTAAATCTATTGTGCTTGTCTTGAGTATTATGAATGTTATTAGCATTGAAATATTAACATTCAATTTGAACATTTGAAGTATTGTATATTTTCAAAACGCGGTAACATTTTCACCATTGACAATTAGTAAGTAGTAGTAGTAGAAGTAAAAATTGTAATAATTAAGTTATATTCAAGGTAAAGAATTTTATCAGTGTTTTTATTTCTAGAAACAAAGAAATATTGTTTAGGTCTTTATCTCATCATCCGATTTTATTACAAAACTAAAATGATATGTATTTAATTTGATCGATCAATTTTGAAAATGTTATTTTTTTCACAGATTTTGAATTGTTTATTTTATTTAATGTGTTAAACGCGACCTATGTTACTCACTTTTTTTTAGATAATCGTATATTATATTAAATTCACAAAAAAAATAAAATTTTTTAAACATAAATTAAATATCACATTGCATCATTATTTAATTTTACTGGAAATGTCTAGTGTAATAAATCGAATGATCGTTAAATAATTATTATATGATACTCACAAAAAAAAATTTACGCTTTGATAATTTAATCCGTTAAAT